AATTCCCTAATTCCCCAATTCCCCAATTCCCTAATTCCCTAATTCCCTAATTCCCTAATTCCCTAATTCCCTAATTCCCTCATTCTCCATTTCTCTAATTGCCTAATTCCTTCTTCCCTAATTCCCTAATTCCCTAATTCCCTAATTCCCCAATTCCCCAATTCCCCAATTCCCTAATTCTCTAATTTCCTAATTCCCTCATTCTCCATTTCTCTAATTCCCTAATTCCCTAATTCCCTAATTCCCTAATTCCCTAATTCCCTAATTCCCTAATCCTCTAATTCCCCAATTTCCAAACCCCCAAACCCCCAAATCTCCAAATCCGGAGAACCTCAAACAAAAATCCAAGTTACGCCAATGATGATACTAATTTACATATGTACATCGTCTCCGATTGTAGATATCGGTTAATACGTTCGAGATGTATGTCAAAGTGTGTATATACAAGTGATCTTCAGCATAGTAACACTGTGTAAAGCTCAGGCGTGTATTGGAAACTACAAGGGTAAAGAAAGTGCCGTTTTGCTCGCGGACATCGTTGCCTCTCGATTGCCGAACGGCACAAGAAAAAACATCTCACAAGCGCGCAGGAACCGTGTTCACGTCGAACGAAGAGAGAAACGAAATTAAGTGCAGACAGATGTACAACTCTAAAACGGAAGGAATCGCAAAAACGGAAGGTGTCGGATCCCCTTCTCTCTTGAAATAAAAGTGATTTTCATTGGGAGAAATCTTTCGGATAATAACACGTTTTCGACGACGAAAGCGACGATAAAAAGTTAGCTGGAGTTTGAATGAAAGTTGCAGGAGTAAGAGGACGTTCTTGGATGCGTTATGGTGTTCGTGAGTCGATGATTGATTACATGAAACAGAGAAAGCAAATGACAATGAGGATTGTGTTACAAAATGAGAATAAGAAAAAGAAATACTTAGGTGAAGAATAGATTAGTAACGTAGACACTTCGTGACAAGGAAATAAGCTTGATTCTACACCGACCTGTTTATAATGTACACTGGAAGTTTCTACATTGAACGCATGTAAAAATCACCATCGAGTTTTCTAATTATCATAAATACATATACAGATTTAAAAATGTCACTTTATTCTTGCTTGCAAACATTCCTGCAGCTTTATCAAAGGCCACGGTAGCGAATTCTACTTGAAGTCCATTAGAATTTCCATCGTTATTTTATTCACTGCACTCTATTATTTCATATTTTTTTCGAACTCAATATCCTATTAAAACATTTTTATTACAATCTACCTTGGTGTATTATACCTGGAAACATTTTAATTCACCGCATTGGTAAACACTATAAAATAATCGGAAATTTATTACCCAATAACGTCGTAATAGCACAAAAACGCTATAAAGATTAGACGCATTAATTACCATAGTAACAAGTAAAAAATGATAGATTGATTACTGCAAGTCTAACACTTTGATTTAAACTCACATTATAATGCCAAGGATGAAAGGTTGAACAATAAATTCAATTCTCATAATGAATTCATTGTACGAATGGCCCTGAGAAAGTGGCAATATAGTAAGTATGCGCGTTATGTGATAGTGAAGATATCTAAATATTCAATTAAGGGTAAAGTTAAACCTTCCTCGTGTTACCGGATAGCTCATTACTGACCCCGACCTTTTGGCCTCGGTCCGCGCATTCATTCGAATCACGCATACGAAGTCGAATACAAAGACTTACTTTCATCAACGCGAATCGTTGATCGTCTTCCAGCTTTAATGATTTCGACATCTTTAACGTCCTGGTCGATCCTCAGTCGCCGGCAATTGCAAAACGTATGCTTAGCTGACAGTTGCTGATTTCGCAGTTCTTCAAAACGCCTTAGAACACCTCGTCTTTCACGCTCGAGGCACCGTGTGCAACCTTTCCTTCGACGTTTTTTGTTTCCTACCGATAACGAGGAAATACGTATTAATATCACAGTAGATTAGTCAAACTATCGATAGTGTGAGTTAGAAAGGAAAATAAAGTGTCGAAACGCGAACACAAATTAATTTAGCCCTCCTCTATAATTTAAGAAATCAAAGTTTCAAGCAAGTTTCAACTTTCTAGATCTTATATTATCTCTCCCGATATCTACATTAAAATTAGATGTTTATCGGTGTATTTCGTGGGCTTAGGTCACGAATGACACAATCATCGTTCGGGGATTAACGTAATGTATGTTGCACGCATTACTGTATGGTAATCTGTGTCATTGTTATGCGAGACGAGGGCTGTTGCATTTCAGTAATACATAAGTTCTTCACAACTTCTTTGATCTACCAACTCAGAGCTCGAGAATTTATTTCGCCGACAGTACTCGCTATAAATAAACATATATGTAAATAAGTAATAAAGTACATGGCTAATAATACTGCAAGTATATTACTTTGACCTAATACGAATTGAATACTGAATGACACCTAATGTTTTGAAAATGTAGTTCACTTCTGCAGTAAGTTAAATGTAAGTAGACAACGATAACAAAATACTGAATTTACATTGTCATATTTTAGAACGATTCTGTTTTAAAATCTATAAGTCCATCAAGGGAACATTAAAAAAAAGAGAAATACGTTTTATATTTGTGTATTACATAAAGCGCATCCATCCATTGAAATTACTGTTACGTTAGAGCAATAACCGTATAATGTTACTAAACTGAAATTTACAACAGTCATAGACTACATCTACAACGGTAAATACAGCGTACAGAAAATACCTATAAATTGCAGCGACCTGCAATAATAAAAATCGATACTAGATGTACGCAATCGTCAAGGACAGGAAGAAGTATCGTGCAGAATAACCGTCATTTAATGGATATAACCGCTGTAACGGGTATGAATTTGAACTCTCTCCGTACAGAGTGTTGCAATCGAATAAATTCCCTTCAACCGGTTCGCAGCCACCACGAAGTGCATTAAAGAAAGAAAGAAACATTACCAAAGGAAAGTGAGAAAATTTGAGTTCTTCTTTCTTCGGTGGTTCGACAAGAACTGTCAACGATCTAGTCACTCGATGCACAAAACGTAGCGTTTAGGCACGATTGAATGGCGCACACAATCGCGTTCGTGTTTCGCGGTTGCCGATTTGCACGATGGTGCAACAGGTGTCTCTTGCGGTCACCAACCGCGCTCCAGTTCGAGAGCCAATTTCTCACTAAAAATGCCCGCTGCGTGTTGATCGACACCCAAAGAATGAAAACGTTCTGTTCTACACTGTTCTCGATACCGGCGCTACCGTGCCACGACACCCCACCACGTTTCCTCGTTTGTATCCCAGATTCACAGGTAGGGGAACAGAAATTGATCGAAAATCAAGCCGATTGTTTCTGACGATGAGTTCTTCCTCCTCTGCGGAATACAGCCTGCGCTGGGAACGATGCAACATAAAACTGGATAATTTCGAATGCACACGAGTCTGTGAGTAAATGTGACATTGTTTCATGATATTGGAATACTATCCTCCTTTTATGATTCCACTTTAACCAAGATCTAACTTAACTAACCCCGACCTAAACTTGACCTAACCCAACCTATCTTCAATCTGACCAAACCCTCGTGTCGTGACAACACCTTGTTTTGACTTTACCATATTATGCACTAACAAGCCGATCACTTCTTCAAACATTCGATTACATTTTCTATCTTTTATATCGCGATATTTTTGTTATCATTATGAAATATAAATAAATACATCCTAAAAACATAAAAGTTGTCAGTGAATCTTTTCTACATTTAATAGCGATGATAATAATGTAGAAGTTCAACTATGAAACACTCTGTAAATATGATGAATTCGTGTCAGTTTATTATACCTCCATCATTTCTTGGATATTGATTTAAGCATAACCTCTTCGACTCGTATTAGCAGCTGCAGTTTAACGATGTTGATTTCAACATTTTCGTGATGCTCGATATCGCTGTAACCTTGACAATTTCGAATTTGCGGACAGCCAGTTTATTTTTGTAGACTCATGGTGCTATTATAAGAAATATTCTTGCCTCGAAGTGGATCTGAAATCAAACGGCCTACCGCCAATTTCAAGTCACTGGTTACGCCATCTGTGGAAGGGTTGATGTATTACGCAGTGAATTTGACTGTTATCGTACTTAACCTCGATCGATCTCTCGCATTCGAGTCATTGCGCGATTCAGCATGGCGCAGAATGACAAGTAGCACGGTGGCTTGCTTCGCGAGTGTTTCTTCGATACACAGACGAGTGTACAGTTACTATTGGAAGTAGTATTTCGGTTAACTGGTGTTTAAATCTTGAAGACGCAGTGGCTTATGCGATCGTAACAACTTAGGTGTTCCTGCATCGAAGAATGCAGAGCTATTACAAACAATACGTCTTCGGCTTTCTGTGCCGGCATAAATTTCAAGAAAAAATTATCCCACGCGATCGAACGTATTCGACGGTTTCCAAACTGAACGATATTCCCTGTTATCGGGAACCTGTCATGTAAGTACTTTTTATAATTGCGTTATATTTTCAGTATAGAAATTTATAAACGTTGATCGCATTTGATTTTCCGGAAACAGTGACTGAGTATTGAATCTAGATTTCTTATCTTGTCCTTTCGGTAAAGAACGCACGTCATTCTTTACCGTGGGTACAAATTTCTGGACGTAATATTTTTGCATTAAAAACAAAAAAATTATAAGATTCAAACGTAACATACTGACAGATTTTTACGTTTTCCCCTTTCACAATTTATACTATTCGACCGGCCTGCTCATTTACGTCATCTAGTTTCATTATGCAATATTTTTACCTCATGATTATTCATTAAGCTAATCTTATGCTATTCCATTCAGAAACTTGTTTAGCATAAAAGAATGTTCTATTTTTTTCGCTTACATTTTATGCCTAAAGTACGTTTTGACGATCGCATGTGTTTGTGTGCGCGTTCCTTTATCTTCAGCGTAGCATAATTACACAAGCGGATGTATATACGCTCAGTTATTTCCTTCACGTTTCTAAATAATTTATCTCGAAACTATTTTTATCTCGAAATTCACGAAGCGTAAAATTGATCGGATGAAGCCGTACCTTCCACGACTTTTAATTACGTAAGGAACCTGTGCCATTAAACGAAGAAAATTGAGTCAAGGCTCTACGCGGAAACGAAGCACGTTTATGTTTATATGCACCTTGGAGCCGATGACCCGAAACGTTAGATCCTGTGCTACATTCGGAAGAGAACGAACCTTATATCTATTCCCTGTGTATCCTTGACGCTGAAATATCAATGCAAATGTGTAGTTCGTGCATACACTACAAGTTACCTGTTTATTGTACTTATTTAAAGATATGTATTTACAGTACACGTTATATTGTCACAGGTGGTGCTGTAACAATCTTGGCAATGACAGTATGTGAGATTAAAGGTGTAATATAACGTATGGCAATATAATGGATAACTTGCTGTCTTATTAACTGCTATCGATTATCGGTACATTATCGATGCGTTATTGATTTTGCAGTACATTCAGTATCGATCACTGGTATATTACCGATATACTACTGTTAATTACCGATAATTTTATATCACATTTATCGATCAGGAATGAATGCCAATGACTTTTGATGCCATGACGCTGTCCGTGGATCTCAAAGTGCATGGTAGGAGAACGCGCTGTGTACGAAAGTTCTTATCAAAGTGACAATATAACGAGAGTCTACTGTACTTAAAAAATAACCTTGTAACATCTGTTACCTATAACCGTGGCAGTCAACATGTTAACACTTTGATGGTTTTACATTCCGAATCCGAATCTTGTAACTGTAAATTTTTTTTAACATCTGAAAGAAGATTATATTTAAGAGCTTATCTGTAATACTACTAAAATAAATATCAATAAAATAAAGAACAATGAAATACAGAATTGAGCATTACGGTCACGAATACATGACGCCACTCGTCAATATAAAACTTCCCAATGAGGAAAGTGTGGGGTTCGGGAAAATCACCATTTTGAAACACTGATCTGGAGGAAATGTGGAAGGTATAAGAAAGCATGGTTGGTTCCTAAGCTCCTTTCTCCTGACCCCTCTCGAACGGGACACCACTCCACGTTGCGCCGTAGCCAGTCAAGCACAATAAAGCGTAATATTGAGCTCTTGTTATACTACCGTCTTCATAAATTTCTGCGTTTATCTCTGCGGAAGGGTGTGCCCGCGTCTGCTGATGAACAGAGGGGAATCGTATCTAAATCGAGGACAATAAATATCATTTGTGAGAAGGAACGTTGATAGGCTCGCGGCGCCGCACGCGCGTCCAGTTTTCTCGTGTTGTTGTCATTGTCGGTGCCAAGAAGCAAGAATTTTTGACCACACGCTTCGGTTTCGTTAGCCGTGAATTTTTGCGAGGAAAACTGTATCGCCGATTTATCAACGACGGAAGAAAGTTGACGTACCACCAAGTTTTTGTATAATTAAGCGGAACGAAATTTTCCTCTTTTCCTTTTCGGGATGGTGAATTCGTCTTGATGTGACCCGTCGATATGCCCCCCGGAAACATGGAAGGCCGCCGCCGAGCTGAAAACGGAAACTGTAAGTGAAAAGCATTTACCGTTGATCAAAGAGTAACACTGTTTACGACAGGTACCGTAGTAAGAAAACATGAATGGAGCTTGTTCGATTGACTCGAGTTTCCTGCTTCTTTTTGATCTCAGATGTTATCGGATGTGAAATCTTCGTACTATAATAAAACCTCTGTGTAAAATAAATTCTTTGATCGTCGAACGTTCGTACTCTTTGAAACGCAATTGATGAGAAGTTTTTCCCTCTTCTCGTGTTATAAAACAGAATCGCGTGTGTGTCGTATAGATCACCTTTTATATTTCTTTTTATAAGTTCTTGCACATCCTCTCTTCTTCGTTAAATTCCTGTTGTCGTGCAACATTTTGTAAAGCAGTTGTGAAACACAGTAATTGTGCAGAAAAGCATATGCACGTTTCATCAAGAATAATTCTGGAATAATAACAGGATACACTGAATAGCTGGTTACGAGTGCGCAGATTCTGATAATAAGAACATCCGATATTCTCAATTCTATCAATCTCGATGATGCGAAACAAGCATGCTAACGGTGACATAAAAATTCACAACTGTTAACACGTTGATTGTGTTTGCAATATTAGCCATTATTAATTTGTTATATACATGACCGTACGATACAGTCGATTTTCGTTTTATTATAATTATAAGAAGTTTTGCTAAATACAGTTTTCTTTGGTGTTAATATAACGAGAATCTACTGTATGCCTAAGGCTTGAAGTTGTAACTTTTGAATAACGTAAGCATAAATAAATACTTTATTAAAATCGCCAACAGTCAAAGTGTTAAACGAAATGGCAAGTAGCGAACAAATAGTAAACCTAATAGAGATTCTAGGACAACAATGCCCGGAGGTAATAGGCTTAACGGCTCGATACAATTTACGGCGATTAATCTTCACGCTTCTAGCTTCTATTTGTTCAATCAACGTTTTCAACTAATTATCTCTAGAAACTTTAGATCCTAAAGTGAATCATTGAAAGCATTGAACTTTCCCATAATGTTTGTCACTCGATTCTTGGACGTTTCCATGCACTTGTATAACAGAAATTTTATGTATCAACAACTATAACAAATTAGAACTGTTGAGGCGATAATAGTCCACGTGATGGTTAATTGTTTGCTGTACATGTACAAGGAGAAGTATCATATCTATAGTTCGTATCCACTTGTTTAACGTTGGTAATAATTGCGTGTTTCGTAGGAGGCCTATTAGTTGCATGTTTTCTTAGAACTGCGCAGAGAAGACAGTTGATCAGATTGCATGATTAACGTTTGGATCCATAGAATACCATGCACGAATTCCTTTTTCATATTTCAGTTATTCTTCCTTTTTTACATAACCTGGAAAACATTTTTCTTTATCCTGAAAATATTTGCCACTATAATATGCTTACAGTATATTTCCTACACATTCACGACCAAATTATTGAAATTTGTTAAAAAGTAGCATTTAAAAGTTGATTCAGTTCGGTCGCGGTTGCTTTGACTACTGTCTGAGACATTATAAAAGTCGGTCGTGTTTAAACAATGAGTCATCTTCAAGTGTTTAAAGATTTTTATACTTACAAATATAAGATAGCGATGTACCTGCATAAAATCTCCATAAGTTCATAAACATCTCTGCATAAAATCTGTTTGTTTATCAAACTTCAAAGGAGCTGTAAGAAAATCGTTTTGGTTTGAGGCGCATTTTCAGTTGTAAACTATAGAGACGGTATAATTCTGTTGGTTCTCAAAATTCACTTTTTTAAAGCAAACAATATCGAAAAATATTATTCCACTTGTTCGATTTATTTGCGCAGCTATAAATTGTATCGTACGAGCGAAAAAAGACACAAAATTCACGCGTTGACTGCCGGAGGATTTTTCAATCACTGGTGCATAAAAATACGAGGGTTAAATTAAATTAAAAAGTTAATCGATACCTTGTCTTTACTCCTGATTGGCTACGAAAAAAGTTAAATATTTTATATAATTTTTGTTTGGAAAACATCAACTTTATAAATTATAATTTAAGCTAAAGTCAACAACATGTATAGTAAGAGAATTACCTACTAAATAATTGCCTGTTAGATAACTATTAGATAACTATCGGCGAGGTAATTACTTAATAATTTCGTGCTACATAATTATAAATAACCCTTAGAAAACTAATCAATAGTTTTTCAAAGTTCACCGTAAGTATCGAGTTTGAAGTAGATCAAATGTTACTATTAAGTTAGCAAGTAAGTTAGAGGTGCCCTGACCATGACTGCAGTAACTGATCGTACATCCATCGTTCTTCGATGGAAGTGGCTGCGTTCTGGATGCTTGCCACGAGAAAAAGCCTATATGTAAAATTACTTACTGGCCAACCACTTTGCGTCCCCATTCACCCTGGCAATAATTCCTGTGACAACCTTACGTTTCGTAATGTACCTTTTGTAATTTTCCCGTCTCCTCCAACGAACCTAAAAGAAAAAATGAACTTATAAATGGGACGTTTTTTGCTGGATACATTCCGTGAATTTTTGTGGCTGAAGCACTCACTGTATATCTTTAAACATATTTTACCTTTTTAATTAATTTTCAATCAATATCAGAAATTACAAAATTCAATACATTTTTAATTAATAAGATGTCCAAGTTTATTAGATAACTCAGTTAATTTTAATGCAAATGCAGTAGTATATTTTTTTGTTAAGTAAGACGTACCAGTGTGCATAACAACAAAAGAGAACCTTCCATGCTTTAAAATATTCACAACCTGTCATTAGAAAGCCGGTAAATTTATTTCGGCATAAAACGAACATCAGTTTATATTTTGACCCATTATACTGCGCACACGTGCAGTTGCACACTTGTCGATATTTCGCAGCCACGTTATTCTCAGAACAAACGTAAAAAAAATTAAACAGGAAGTTGTTCGAGGCATTGTTACAATAGCCTGTTCGTGATTCTTTCGTGCTGCAACTGAATGTGCTTAAAAATATTTATGAAAAAATTAAAAAAGATTGTTGAATAATATGTCATTATTAGTGGTATTGTTTATATAATTTTGCAATTTAAAATATGGCACTAATTACCTACTAACGATTTTGACGTTTTTATTACATCGATTCATTCGTAACGTCACGAACAGTAATCCGGTATAATCATCAGATACAAAGTGTGTCTAATCTTGAGAATCTACATAAATGCTTCCTTAATCCGTTATTTCCATGCATACGTGCTTTGTAATATTCCTCTATTTCAATCGATACGTTATTCTTTAATAGTATAGCAAATGAAAATGTGGTTTGCATACGGTTGTTGTATGAATTATTTACATATATCCAGCCTTGTATAACTAAGCTAAAAAAGCAGTTATTATCATAAATATTCAATCAATTATGTCTTCTGGATATATTAAAAATAGAGATTCCACAATCCAATACTTACTATAATACGTAAGCAATTGTATAATTTTTTAATATTATCATTTTCTAGATAAACAGCCATGTGTAAATTGTATTCCTCTAAAAAGATCATCTCGATCTTATCGACAAAATTCGGTCCATTTGGAATCTCCGTAAAGCACAAAACTGAAGTTGTTAGAATTTTTTTAATTTCTGTAAAAATCATTTTTATTCGTAGAACATTATGTCTGAAGATAGTATTAGCATTTTGTATTCGAATAAAAAAAAAATAGATTAAAGTTACGACATGTAATTGCAAGTTCAGTCGGTTGGTCCAACTTACACACAAATAGTCGAAGACAGTCGGTGATCGTCGGGTCGATTCGGCATCGCTCGTCAACGTTCGTTGATGCTGTATCGTGGCGTTCTTATTCAGTATGCTAGTGTCTTTTGCCGCTATCATGTAATGCGAGCTGCTCGCACGCGGAATGTTTTAGTATTTTGTTTCTTCAGTAACACGATGTTAGATTAACCACGAGTTTGTGTTTCTTTTCAAGGGTTTTTATCTCTTCCTCCCTTATTTAAACTTCCTAAACAGTGAAAAGTGAAAGAAGCATCATGAATTTGCGTGTTCGTTTGTTTCCACCTCCAACCACCCTCAAAATGGTAAATGCAATTATCGACTTATGATTATTTGATAATATCTTGTTTAAGTCGCATACTTTTATCTCTTTAAAATGTACTTTAAGATTTATAATTTGTATCAGGTTAATCTTAACGTTTAACATTTGATCATTTCATCTCAATGTGTTTGCAAATTTTGTTTTGTTAATCATCATTCGTACACTTCAATGCAACGTAGGTTTTCGTCAGATAAGGTCAAGTGTAGGGGGAGGAGCTCCTCCCACTACTTGTTTTCGTTTTTGGGGACGATAATACGTAACCTAAACATTTGCAAATTCCAAATTTTTAATTATCAAAGTCCCAAGTTTCTAAGTTTGCAGATGCACAAATTTCTGGAGTATTCAAATGTCTAAATTTTCAAATTTCTGAAGTTATAAATTGAGAAATATTAAAATAAATTAGCGAGTGGTGGGGAACTCTCCCTATACGTCGCCATTTTCCCTAGGAAAGTGTACCATGCTCATTACTGTACCATATTAAACATATTCTCGCATTCGTAAATGACACGAACACGATAGCACAAGGTACTCGGCAATTTGTTAACCTCATGCATAATGACGAAGTGTCTGTCAAGAATCTTAGATGAATCTAATCATTTTTCACTAGCAAACTCTCACCGTTCCTCGGTCACTTTAATCACGATTTAATTTCGTACGTGAGCGGTCACAGTGGGCTCTGTGCATACTGTGGTCCTTGTATTTTTAGTGATATTGGCACGTATCACCGAACGATATTAGCTGCAACACCTTCAGCAATGTAGACAATTCGTTACATTTTTGCAAAATATAATAATCAAACAGTATACGTGTTTTCACGTTCTATCTATTTATATTCGTTCGCTTGACATTTATATCTATAGCGTTTTGTGAATCACTTGGGCATCTAATTAAGCTTTGCAAATTATTTCTGTACTACTTCCTAAATAGACAGTTAAAATGATCTTGGTTTATCTAAAATCAATATAACAGTATTAGTTGTGATAATTATAATTTCCTAAATTACCTATTTACATAATACAGATGTTATTAAGTGCAATTTTATTTTTCATTACAAAAGAAACAATTTTTAATTACCTTGTCTAATTATCACTCTTGTACGTTTGATGGCTGTTAATAATAATGCACACTATGCTATATTTAAAACACAAGTGTTCTTATGCACTCAGTCTGACAACTCATTGAAAGTTTTTTCATATTTTTGTACATTTTAATATCCTGTAAAAATAAATACATATATAAATATTACAAACATTGAATATAAATAAAAGCATGTTATAAAAGAGTTTCGGAGGGAATCTTCCGCTTTGTTTATACTGGTCCGGTTTCTGCCAGTTTTTTATTTGACAGTCGGCAATCAAGGTCGAATTCCCAAGAAAAACTAGTTTATAAATGCAGATCTTTGATCGATGCACATTCAAATAAGTGATGATGTTTCAATATCATTTCTCTTATACATGTTTAAAATAACATATCCGTTTGCATTACAATAAACTTCAGCCGGAGAACTGCAACCGCCATTCTAACAATACGATGAATCGATATGTACATTCTTAGTCCGATTATCGATAGCGTCGATTTATTGTTCGATTTGGACGTTATTGCTTCTATCGAAAGTATGGCTGCCAACATTCTTTAACAGTTTTTCGTCTTCTGGAGACTATTTTCGATCTCGAGATTAGCTATTTTTATTCAGACAGCTATTTATCTTTTAAAATACTAGTATATTTTTAGCAATGATATATATCTTACAGTCAGAGTGCAATGATCGATTTTAACTACAATACAAACTTGTGAATGACTTCCGTGTTCTGTTTTGGAATTTGCAGTGTTAAATGTGAGAACGTTATTTCCGTGAGCATATCACTTTATATTTGGGTCTTCGAATGACGTTTAATTAAAGAGATCGCGGGAAACGTATCATTTGCGTAATAGCGCGTAAATGAAATAGAATTCTATACATGCAGCGCCCCCATCATTCAAGTAGACGCGTTACCATTTATTAGAGATGTGTGGGTAGTCCGATATGTCAGGTACCTGAGATTTCAGGTCAAATTAGAGCGGAAACCCGAAAGCATTCATTTAAAAATTAACGCTTACAATTCTGGAACTAACAAAAGTTAAAAAGTTGAAAATTCGGAGATTTGCATATGCGACGTATGAAATTTCTACAACTGTGTTTACCAACGATAAATACAGAATTGTTTATACACATAATGTTATCAATAGCAAAATACGTAAGGTAAATTATCATAGTCAAAGGTAAATTATTATAATGATACAATTAAAAAGAAATGGTACATTAAGCATTTAAAATCTATGACAGAATCGGTGACCGTTGAGAAAAGTCAGTGCGCATGCGCGTGTTAGTATCCGAGTGAATTTGAAAACCTTCGCAAGTTGCGCACGTATGAAACGTGGTTATGACTTAAAATGGGTCGACTCTCGTGTATGTTTCCTTTTACTTGGCGCATACACGTAGAAGAGCGTTACTCGGTACATTTCAATGCCTTTTTTCTGTTTTAGCGTTGGTCAGAGCCGCGCAAGAATCGAGCCTGATGTCCGTATGGTCAACAAGCACTGGACGCAATTCAGTGTTTGGCGCGGAGGGTGGAGCGGTACTCCCCTCCTCGCATTTGCCGATCCACGTACACGTGGCGCGCACACATCTGCGCAACGCTGACGGCCACTGCTTCCACAAGCGGTTCCACGACTGTCAGGTCGGTAGTCTCCCCTTGTTTCTTTCATCTCTTTGCAGTCCGTTTCCTCTTTATCTCTGCACGTTACGTTAAATATTAGGTCGTTAAATATGAAACACTACATAAACTTCTTTTATCTTTTTTTAATAAAACACATTGTTAATCCAATTCTGTTATTTCATTTCTGACATTTGAATATAGTCTGCTTGTGCCGCCGTTGAAGTCTGAAGTATGAAATATGACAATGGGATCTAGAAGTTGTTTTGAAAGCGGATACCGGTTCTCGCCTAAGTTCGCAGTTCTATAGAGAGTGGATCAATCAGTAAAACTAATTATCGTAACAAACAAATGTAACAAATAAGGGGCGAAGAGACGTCTTTCAAACTAACGTAATTTAAGCGGAATTTGGCGTAAAACGGATGATATATACTAAAATTTGTGTGTCGACACTTGTCAGATTTCATACTTAGCGACCTAATGTACTCTTTCGGTGTCTTTTTGTAACACACGCATTTTTATACTGAACCATGATTCATTTTCAGTTACATTATTATTACGTTATAATTCGAAAGTTTCAAAGATTTTGCAACGTTGTTTTGATTCTGTTTCTTTATTTACAGAACTGTTCAAGTATAACATATGTTTGATCATATCACGATTCATAAACAAGAAAATATATTGGATGTCAATTGAACTTGAACGACAGGGATCAACTAGCTCGTCACTCTGTTTTTAATTGATAAAGCATGTTGTTCGATGCTAAAGTATATTCCATCGGAGGAACAATGAAATGTTCGAATTAAGATTTATGGGGTTGTTAACGATCGTCATCCGGAAGGAACTCGTGTCGATATCCATTATCATAACGTAGAAGCACCGAGCTGGAACAAACTCAATTTATCATCCATTCGCGGAATCCTTGGAAACGTGGATAAAATCAATCTGAGTCGTTTAAATGGTATTGCCATCATCTTCGTTATCAACGGAACGCAATTTGTATCTCACAGTTATACATCGGATAATTATCTCGATTATTCTCTTGGCTGTGAATTTACCTTATATAAAACAGGCGTACAGGAAACATTAACGCTTTAACACGTTCTCTGTGAACGTCGCGGATTCACGTCATACTCAATATTATTCTTGCAACTTTGGAATTTTAGAATTTTTGGGGGTATCAGAATTTTGGGACTTTGGAATTTTAGAATAATATTCCAAATTTAAACTCGTGTTCCCAAGTTTCCAGAGTTCCAAAATATTATTACTAATAATTCTGCTATTGTCTGATTTGAATATTAATAGTATTAACCGAGTATAATGCGTCTATAGCGAACGTGTTAACAAAACTCGCCATGCAAATTATGTGTAAACTGTGAACGTGTATCACATGCAAATTAAGATCCGAAAGAAGTCGGTTTATCGCGTATCCTATGCTCACGATTGCCACTTATTTAAATGATAAAGCAACGAAAATTCTTCCTACGTTTGTTTATGGAATACATTCAGAAATTATATGATTTCCGAGGTCAGAATTATTCGCGCTGTTTCTCGCTTGCCAGATTTCCCGCAGACACGTCAATCTATCAGCATTAGATTCGCTTTACGTCTACACGATTTTCATTAATTTTCCTTGTTATTTGTTTCGTTCAGCACCCGTTGGTTTTTTGTCCTACACGGGACTTTTGGCAAGTTCTCCCATTGGCACCAACGTTGCCATCTACTTTCGGTACGTGTCTTTCTTTTTTAACGTGCTTGTACAATTGAACGCCAATTATTCGAGCACTGATTGTTTCTAGATGTGCAATTAGCTGGATTTATGTTTAACGACAATTTCGTTATTCGAGGTACGTTCTCAAATGTGTAAAATAAAGATTAGCGTCGTTATCATTGCACCACGCTGTAGAAAAAATGTTTACAAAAAAAGAAGAACGTGATACGTGAAACCTCGTATGACTATTTCAAAATTGAATTAGAAACATTGTAATATGTGTTCGTAGTACTTGAAAGAATACAATATTAATATTAACTGTATACAATCTCGAACTAGGAGATTCGAGAGAAAAGTTTTATGTATGAACTGGATGAAATAACCAGGTTGATATTCGTACTTTAGTCACTTAACTCAGAAACATTGGCGTAACTAGGTGGAGACCAGAGTAGACCTGGCTCTTAAAAAAAAATACAGATCCCCACGTAACATGAGGTACGTAGAACATGGAATACCTCATATTAGGAATTGACAAATTTCTAAATTCATAAGTCTTCAATTCGCAAATAACTGAAACGTTAAATTCTGAAACTCTAAATGCTGAAATTTATAAAAACTACTCCTTGCCTCTAGAGGTACATTGGCACTACAATGCTAGGAAATGTGACCCACCTCAGAAAAGAATTCTAGTTACGCTAGTGCTCAGGAATGCGATGTATGTACGTTAACTTGTATCTTTGTATTATTTTATTATAGATATATATACTGTATGTTACGAGTCACGTCGTCAAAAATATCTCCGAAATTACTGCGCTGGCTTTACATGTTCACTATTGTATCGCGTTGCTGACCAGTTTGAATCATTGAAGTGTAATTTTCTACTGCATGAGCGTTCACAGTTACAAGTTAGCGTACCGTTCCAATTAAGAACATTGTGCGACCAGTTGCTTTTTGATTTAATAATATTGCTCGTCTTGGAATCATTCACCTATATTGTCTGCATCCTTTTTTGTTCGCCAGTCAAAAATGTCGCAGTCGGGAGATGGCCTTCACACGCCGGGTTATCTCTCTTGGAGAAAACTACAGCTCAGCCGAGCGAAGCTTAAAGCGTCGAGCAAGACGTCTGCTCTACTTTCCGGTTTTGCTATGGTACATTTTCTGTAATATAATAGGAGGCATAATGAATAATTTTAGAGCAGTGCTGTCCACAAAGTACACCATCTTATTCGGTACTTTATTCCCATTTATGTTAGTAATGATATAATGTAGCAAATCATTTTTGAATAGCACTGTTCTAGAATATAGAGATGCTCAAATTAGCCAAAACTTGCTTGTAATGCATCCCTTTTTATAATTCCAAAATATAAGTTAATCTACAATTTATGTATGTACATGATAGTAATTAAATTTTGTTAATATAGGTTGCTATGGTGGAAGTACAACTGAACTCTGACACTAAAGTTCCTCCAGAGATGCTGATCGCCTTCGCCGTGTGCACAACGCTGCTGGTCGCAGTCCACATGTTGGCCCTAATGATATCAACGTGTATTCTACCAAACATAGAAGCTGTGTGTAATCTGCACAGCATAAGTCTGGTACACGAATCACCGCACGAACGTTTGCATTGGTACATCGAAGTGGCGTGGGCGTTTTCCACTTTACTAGGACTGCTGTTGTTTTTATTGGAAATCGCTATACTCTGTTGGGTGAAATTTTACGACTTCTCGCAAGTGGCAGCCTGGTCGGCGTGCATCGTTTTGATACCGGTGCTAATAATCTTCCTCGCGTTCGCTATACACTTTTATCGGAGCCTGGTCGCTCATAAATATGAAGTCACCGTGTCCGGAATAAGGGAACTGGAGTTACTTAAAGAACAGATCGAATCGACCGACGTCGAGGGTAGGAACGGTGTGAATCTGTTACAGACCGCCGGTGTGACGCACGTGGTATGAACGCGCTGAAGCGTTAAAAGATCTAAGTTATTTTTTAAATGTGATAATCTTTATATTTCGGAAGAGAGTGGTGAATCTGGGGTGACTCGACTGCACAATTGATTGTTGTTATAAACGTTCAAGCAGCCGAAAGAAAAGGTCAAGGAGATACGATTATTAGAACCAGAAGTGAATCTTTCGTGTGCAGATTTGAATCATGATCATTTAATGTGGGAGAAAAGATTTCGTTTATTTTGTTCCTTGCAATACTTCAGTTTGCGTGTATATATCGATGAAACGAAACATCTGTACCTTCCATAAAACGACGCAGTCCGTTACTTCTCGTGTTTAGATATATTGCAGTAAATTCTGTGGTTACCGACAAGTAATATTCAACGAAAAGTCTGCGTAGTAACGTGAAACATTCCCTTTCTCGCGTAGCGACTTAACATGTAAAACATAACGATACACAATAGGATTTACTGGTTGATAAGGATATGCAGGTACCTGAGATTACGAATGCGGGTCAGGTCTGTTAAAATTCGAATGATAATGGACGAGAACTTGAACATTTTTTTCTGCATACGAATTCCCAACATTCAAGTCTCGAAAATTCATGGTGTTTTAGAACCAATAAATCGTTAAGATTTAGTAAATTAATATGATTAATTTCAAACACTCGAATCTCAGGGTCTCGTATGCGAAAAAAATATTTTCGGATTCTCATAAAATCCTGTCCGAATTTTTCCAAATATCCACCTGAGCCTGTAATCTCGGGTTACAGCACATCCGTATTGTTTGATGTAATTAACTATAGCTCAAACAGCGACAGCTATGGATAGATGTTTATATTTGTCTCGAATAAGCGTGACTAGACCGCGCAGAATGTACTTATTAACTGATTTGAAAACGTGCCTTGTTTTATGCACCGTTATTCGCGAATCTTCCAATTTTATTTGTTTGTCTCTTCATTTATCTCGCGTAACATGTCCTATGCTCAAGTAATTTGTCAGTTTTTTATACTATAAATTATATTGCCTTCTCTTGCGTTCATACTTGGTCGTCGAGTTACTGCCGGTATTGAATAAATGAAAATTGTACATAATTTCTATTAAACGCGAACGTACATACATGCTTTAATAGGTATAAATATATACAAAATTAAGGCGCTTTTGCCGAAATAAAATATACAATAACGAGATTCATATTATACTGCCCCCCGCATTATTATATTCCATCGTTAAAATACTTCTCAATAATATTTATTAAATGTACAAACGAATACTTTAGTGCTGATTTGAATGTTTCTCGAATTTTTAAATTTGAAGGTTTTATTGCAAAATTTTCAATTACGAGACAAAATTTAAACAGGGACACGTGTTGTTGGACACGCACACAGTCATTATAGGCTTCGGCATTCTTTTGCAAACGGGTTCAATGGAAATGGGTGGTACGTCTTGGTCAGCGTCAGCAGTTTCAAGCGTAACTTGATCACTGTCCACACGTTCTATTAATTCGATCTGTGAATCAAATGTGCGTAGAATTACAAGACGGAAAACGTGAAAAATTTTTGCATTTTGTTACGTACCGGTGGAATAGGATATGGTGTGGGACGAATAGCAGACTGTCGCCAACACGCATCTAACATCGTCGCATTTACGCAAGAATCGTTTTCCCAGAAACCATGTTGCTCTTGGCCAGTAATTATATGATAAAAGATTCCATGACCTTCTTTTCTACCTTCGACAAATTGACCTTTGTATCGATTACCATTAGCTGTAAAAGAATTAATATTCCGTTTGCTGTTGATTTTTATATTGTATACGAAACGAACAACATTAATACGTTCTTTGTAAGTTGCAACTATTGTTCAATTTGATAAACTAATTTTAATTTGTATTCTAACATAAGAGGGCATCAAGTTTAGACACCTGTGATGATCATTCCTATGCCATGATAAAGATTGTTCTTCCAATCACCCTCGTAGTAATCTCCGTTGCAATACCACATTCGACCATGACCTTGACGTCTATTTTTCCAGAAATCGCCTTCGTAGTAACTACCATCTTCGAACCATTTATGCCCAAAACCATGTTTTTTACCATTAATCCAGTGGCCAATATAATAATGACGAATGGTGCGATCTTCCATCGAAATTTTGCTCAAAATACCACAACCATGTTTTTTATTATTCAGCCATTCACCATCATACATCCATCCATCTCTAAAAAATTTTTAATGAAATTAAAATTATTTTCAAGTACATTCAACTTATTAAAAAGTATTCTAAAATAAATGTATAGTATCATTAGTTTACCAGAATTATTTACCATCATTATCATTGGTGTAATTAGGATTTTTATTTGGGGTGGACTGCATCTCTTAATATTATTAATAATGAAAGAAAGGTAGATTGAACTTTTAAAAATAGAAAGAGAAAGGAAAGTTTATCCTATCTAATTATGCCAATAATAATTACGATAATTATAGTACCTGTATAACTCTTTACCCCTGCCTTCTTTTTTATCATCTTTCCATTCGCCCCTGTAATAACCTTTGAAAAGTAGTTTAGTTTTAGGGCTAAAAATGGCATGCCGTAAACCGTTTCTTTTCGTATTTTCTATTTTACGTTTTGTGTATGATTCTTTTATAGGCTTCAAAAAAGGCATAGTATAAACATTTATGATATTTAGATTTAAGTGGCATAGGATTTTGTTATCGGTGCTATCTTAAACAACGCTAAATTGGTAATTGAACATTTGAAATAACAGTTAAAACATTTTAAATGTAAACGAAAGAACTTTCCATCAAGAATATATTAAAGGTATTTATTAAATTTATATACATATTATCTTTAAAATTAATATATTATTATAAAAGAATATAATACAAAAATATAATGTTTTTAGTATAAAAAATATAAATAAAATTTGTGAAAATTTACGCCATTACAACACTCACGAATCAAAGCGCCTCTACAGTAAAATTTAGTTCATGAAACTTGCCGTGGTCAACCCGACGTGTTTTTTTTAAAACAAACTATCGAAAGAGGGAAAATTTACACGTGAGAAGTATCGTATTTATTTTAACATAAAGTCCTTTCATCTATGTTCTCGTGTCAGTGTCGATAATATTTCTATGAATTCTGCTATCACGATCGAAGATATCGACGAAGAGGTGATTGATTTGGACTCTAGCCAAGATGCCATCAATGATACTGACAATGATCAAAGTGAATGTTCGATCGAAAAAAATTCACTATCGAACAACATTGCGCACGGGACGAATATAACGAATGAAAATATCGATAATAATAAAGGCACAACTAAATTAGAAACTTGCATTGATTTGGATATAGCGAAACCACTTATTAAGGTTATGTTTCGCGATGAAAATATTGCTCGGTAAGAAATTATTTTATCTACTTTCGCATAATGTGTGTATTTTCAAGTAAAATACTGTTTCATTCATTATTATTTTCTACAAAGAACTGAATCTATGTGAAATGAATTGAAAATCTTGCTTGTTTACATCCAAATAGTACACATGTGGCGTCCATTTAAACCTTTATTCCGATTTGTTGTTATTATGCTTTTACGCAGTTGCGATTAATTTATCATTTATAAATATTTTTTTTATTTTGCAAATGAAATTGTAAAATAAAAACACGTACGATATGTATAATAGAATAAATCATAATATTAATTTCCAGTAAAATATATAAGTTAATATGCATATTAAGATATTACTGAACAACATAGGTACTACCTCATGTGTCTCTCTTGGGTTTTAGTATCCTTTTGCTAATTGATATCTCATATTATTACAGCTCTCCTTATATATGGTTTAAAGTGTATTTTATTGTTTGTAAGGCAATTAGTTTAGTTCATTGAAATTACATCTTATAGCAGGAAAGATAAATCCTATTGAAACAATAACAGTAAATATTTTTTAAAATATGGACTATTAATGTCGAACCATATACAGGGAGATTTTTAACAATACAACCTATCAATTTGCAAATGCTTAATAAAATTTAAAGAAGACACTTGGTATAATCTGTTTGCTAACTTTTTGTGTGCATTATGCTCAAGTTAATTGTTTTAAAATAACCCATATTTCCATTTCCTTTATTCAATTTGTAGGCAGTATAGTAAGAAAATAACAAAGTTTTTAGGAGAATTAGTATCATCCAAGATTAAAAATCAAGAAAATGATAATGGTTTAACTTTAGAAATTTGGGATAATGATATTGACTCTTGTCAGTCCATTGAAATTACTACAGAAAGCGAAGATAGTCAGGATATAATATGTGACACATTGTTTACTGTAGATACACAGCCAAAAATTAAAGATGATTTTGATGTTCCAACTTATGGGAAGGTCTGTTATTTTACTGGAATGTTTGATACTTATATATTGGAAGAAAAAGCTAAAACTTTGTTGTAATAAAATAAAAATAATATTTACCTGTTATTATCATTATTAAGCATTTAATATATTGTATATATTTTAGAAATATGAAAATGCATTTGAGAAAGTACAACATAAATCAGATTCTCCAAAAAAAAATGACTGCTCACGAAAATTAATGTGTTTTAATTGTTTGGAAAATCATAATTTAAGAGATTGCCCAAATCCACGCAATCAGACTAATATAGATAAAAATAGGAAAAATTTCAATATGAAAAACTCAAGAGCTTTGAGATATCATTTAGAAGATGATCAAAAGTTTGGTCACCTGATTCCTGGTCAATTAAGTAGTAATTTACGTAAAGCATTAGGTCTTAAAAGTAATGAATTACCTAAGCATATATACAGGTAATTATTTCTAATATCAGAATATGAATAATATGGAAATATGAATATAGGAACATACAATTTTTTGCATACAATATATCCATAATATTTTTCTTAGAATGAGAGAACTTGGTTACCCTCCAGGATGGTTGGAAGAAGCACGTTTACAGCACTCTGGTTTGTCATTGTTTAATTCTGATGGTGTCCCAGAAGATGATCCTAATGATGAACCAGGAGAAATTATTGAAGGAGATAGAGATCAGTATGATATTAGGAAAATATATGATTTTCCTGGTTTTAACGTACCACCTCCACCTGGTACTCATGATGTAAGTAATATAATAAATAAAACAATTTTACAACTGAAAATGTATATTTCTATGCATTCAATGTATTTGAAACTTGGGAATGATAGGAATATGTACAATATTGGGAATCAGATATGAGAAATATTCATAGCAAACAAACAATGCTATCTAAGTTAAGAGGGAAAAAAGCAGATGATGGATATAAACGGAAAAAGCTCAAAATATCTAATAATTCAGAAAAAGATAATTCAGTCCCGGTATCTAGTGAAATGGAAATTGAAGATGTGGATGGTACATGATCCCTTTTATATTTTTATAGTATAGTAATTAAATAGATTTACCATAAAAATATATTCATATTTCTTTAAATAGAAAGTGTAGTAGAATGCATTCCTGTTAATGGATTGTTTATACCACCATTACCACTAGAATCTACAGAAAAATTACCAGAACCGCCAGTATTACCATCGCAATCAGAAGATTCAAATTATCATTCTCAAGAAGTACAGTTTTCTGAACCACTGGTATGTGTTAAACAAATTTTATATTTTAATTAAAACTGCTACTTTAATCATTGTTTAATTTGTAAGTAAAAAAAGACTTTAGTGCGATATATTGCAAATGAAATAATAACTTATTTTTATCAAACATTACAGGAGGAAAGCAAGTCACCGTCGTCTCGTGCAAATTCTCCATCATTATCAGATTTAGAGAACATGAAAAAGCAATTACTTGTAGAATTACAAGAAACAAACTCTCAGTCAAATTCAGATATTTCATCAAAAAGCAATTCTTCAAATTCGGTATCTAAATCTGATATGCCGCCACCTAGCAATGAAGTTACACCAGAATCTAATCGAATCCGTACAAGAACAAGCTGTGGAAGTGTAAAATCAGTTGATCTAGGTACTCCAGTTTTACAAAGTACGTCCCCCTATAGTAAGTTACCGTCGTCTGAAAAGTTTTCAAAAGATATTTGTGATGTGATCAACTTTGAGAACCTGCCAAATTCAACAGGTAAGTATAAACAAATGAGTGGAGTTTTGCAGAAAGTGAGAACTAAGTTAGCAAAACTTCATGAATGAAGAGCATAAATATTTGATTAAAACATGCATAATATTAAAAGAATTCTAAGTATATTTCATGAGTAGATTTTGTATAGAACGAAATAAGCAATAATTTTATTTATTTATAAAGATAACATAGCGACAAACTAGATCCAGTGAAATAATTTTTTTAATGAAGAAACGTTTTAATTTAATTGGTATTGATGAAAACGTTCTCATTATACATTTAAAGAGGTATAGATAATATGTGTTTTTAGTTGGTATTATTTTAAATTGTATATTTTCCAAATTAGAAGATCTCCAAGATTTCTGAATCATTTTTAATAATAGGTAAAAGATAATCAAATATTTCACCACCAGAATGTAATTGCATTTTTCATATAATTAACTTATGTGGAAGGGGGCCTTGAGATAAAATACAATCGTCCTTCTAATTGGTCTTTCTATTTATCATAAAAGTAAGAAAAAAATTCGTAATTTTCAATAAAATTGAACGATGTCGCACTTTTGAAAATTACAATATAGTATTTTTCTATTAATTAGTGACATTTTTCTCGTATATTTCCATATAAGAGATATATTTCAATATCCACGAAAGAATGTGTTTGATTTGACTACTCAGTCAATCACAACATTATTGTAATTTTACGTTTTTCCTTTTGTAGACTTTGATTATTATGCTAAGTCATTTCAGAATTGGCGAATATATTTATTGATATAAACAAAATCTTTGTTTATATAAGAAAAAATAATTTTCAAATAAATGAATTCTTAAATGAAGTATATGTATTTAAAGTATTCACCTACATGTTAAATGTATGTATATATAGATAGTTCATTTATACTATATATTGTGAAATAAATTTGTTGTTTATTAAAGAACATATACTTCGCTATTTTTATATAAAAATTTGATTTCAATTTTCCAACAAGATCAGTAATAGCAAAAGATTCACCAATTCTAAAAAACTTTGTATATATGTAAATAAAATAAAAATGTGTTTTTATAATGCCATAATGCAATGAAAACAAGCACTTGAACAACATATTTGAGATGTATTTCTCTTATTCTTCGTTTATAATATTCATTTTTTTCTACAGTCTTAATTAAATATGCGAGGCAAAAAAGAAATTTTAATCAATGGAGTAATCCCGTAATTACAATCTTCTGTAATATTATTATATTACATATTTGTTACGTTTTAAAATAAGAAATATGTAGCATTTGTCACGCATTACATATTAATAGACTGTTAAAAAGTAAGCATTAATTCCATGTTTATTAGTTTTTAATTATAGATATTTTAATTCTTCTCTATAGAAATGTTTTGTAAATATTATTTTCTGAATTAGTTAAGTATATACACAATTAAATTGGAATGTCTTACTTTTCAAATAAGTATCATAATTTAGTAATGTTTAAATGAACATAAATGCGTAACTATTAATTTCAAGCATAATACTATATTTTTCATAATTGAACAAATAAAAATTCTCGGAAATTCTGAGATATTAATCTATTTTCATAAGTCAAAATTAAGAAAATGAAAAAAATGTAAAATGTAATGCAGAATATTTATTGTCAAAAATGTAATAGAGAAATGTACAACAGTGGAAAAGTTTAATTTATCGCATAATCTATGTTTTGTATTCGTCGCATATAATTAATATAATATCATCGGATGTTTTATACAATAAAATCAATTAAGTTAACTCTCTCACATAAATTGTGCTATTAAAAGGATGTAATCTGGATAAATTACCTTATGAATACTTAATTTTCTCAATTAATATCGAAACAAGTTAACTATAATACTCTTCTTTTTTAATACACTTTTCTACCATTCCCACTATTGCCTTTAGAGTGTTAAAGTTTCATACTATAAATGGTTAATATAAAATATTAGCTCAATTCGTATATTTTAACATATCGTGTGCATATAACGAAGTTTTACTATTAAATCGGAAAGAAGGAATGGACTTTACTAGAGAATCATCGCTTTGTTATGCATTATTTTAATGTATCAAATTCCAATGTACTTGTTTCTAGTGAAATTTCATTAAAACTAACATAAATATCACATGTAATATTACTATCGAATTTTAAATACTCATGTTAGTTGCAATACCATCGAATATCAAAATACATTAAATACTTTTCGTGATATTACGTTAGATGCAGGCACTATAATATCTCGATCAAATTTTATTCTAATTCAGCGATCACAATTCGGTATAATATTCAAACAAATGCGCTCGTATACATCAATACCAGAGATTCAATTATGCTTTCGTTTGTATATTGTATCTTACAAAAATATTTTTGCAGAATTTTTTGTCACATATTCTTGTCATGCGCTAGACGTTAATAATTCGACAAAAAAAGAGAGAGAAAGAGAAAAAAGCGAATACCTCGTAAACAATATAAATACAATAATATTAGGTATATATGGGAAGTTACTTTTCTTAGGATCAAATAAAATATATACTAATATCGATTAAATTGAACTGTTATTCCCTCTTCGCTCCCTCCTTTTTCTGTAAGCTCAGTAGATTTAACTATCAAAACGGGTTATCGTATTGCACTTCTTATTGCATTGTTGGCGGGGGTACAGGAGGATCATCGCTTGAATCCTGAAAGAATTAATACATCTAAAAATCACTGTTACATACAACAATGATTAAAACGGTGTGTACAACTTACACGCTCGTTATCTCGATCTTTAACGTTATTGTTCCTTATCTGACGAAGTGAATTCGGTCGAAAGACGTACATGAGAACCATAAATGCAATAATTAAGAAAGGCATAAAGAAATCGTTGGACGGCGGAGCGGCTGATGGTCCTGGTACTAAAAAAAACGAACCAGTTATATGTTTGATCAAATCTCAAAAGTATATTATTGTTAAAATAATGTAAGTAGCTGGAAAAAAATTTGCGGCCACTATTAATGAGTTAGTTAGAAATAAAAGTACGTACATCGCGCCAGGCTGTAACACTCGTCATCCGTACAATAATTTTGGTTCTGCCTCAACTAAAACAATAAAACGTTATTCATAATATTTTTAATCAATTTTTAAACTGAGAGAATTGTATATTTCTGTTATGAATAATTTGCTTTGAGTGTAGTTACATGTATAAAATTTAGAATCTAAAATTAGTATTGTCAGATAAATTCTTGGAAAACTGTTTATTATAACAAAATTTTGCAGAGTAAGTTAAACTAAGGTATTGCATCAATATTTATGTATATGTATACAGAATATGATGTAGTCATCAATACTTCTTTCATGATTATGAAATTATAAACTGGTTCATGTTAATCAGGAAAACATTGAAAAAATATGATAACAATGCTGACTGTAATGACCTACTGCACAAATGTTATATGTCCACCTTGCAAATATTTTAATTTTTATATACAATGAAATTCTTAACTATTTTATAGTTATATAAAATAATAAGTGCAGTCCCAGAGGTACTTATTTAATATGATGTACCATTAATTCTTTAAGCCTGTTTTTTTTCCAAAATACTAAATGTGGAATACAATGCTTGTGCACTAAGGTATCATTCAGCTTCACTTGTAATAGAATTTAGCCATATTTTCGACGGTTAAACAGATATGCCACGTCGCAGGATGTATACAGTGGCCACAATGCTAAAATAGAAATTGAATCTATTCAAAACAACGAATAATGATCATCGATAAAGTGTTCAAAACAAAAACCAGTTATATGTCAAATTCGGACACAATCACTTACGATAGAAAGTAGGCGTTGCATAGCTAGCTCATGGTTCCATATGCGCTCGCAAATATCAAATTCTTCGTCAGCCATTGTAAAATCTACACATAATTAAAACAAAATCTTTAATCATAATACATCTGCGTCAAAAGAAATATATACATATCATATGGAATTGTTCTCGTAATTAAGCATATGTCATAACAATTATTCTGGAAGCACGTACATAATGCAACTCAAGTGACGGATGTAATGTTTTTCGTATTATCGTATACGTACACTGCGGTATATATTTCGACGAATGTGAATCGATGCAAAGTCCTAGATTATGTTCCGATTCGCGCGACAATGATATAAACTATTATCAAAAACGAAAGGAAACATATATATGTGCATTTACCACTACCACAATAATTATAAGGAAGAATTATATGGTATAGTTCTATTCCGTGATAATACTGCACGTAATGGTACAGTCGAGTGCAGCGTTAGCTTTTAAGTAAGAACAAGTGTAGGCATAAAAAATTTTCCGTTTATTTATCATAAAGTAGCCGTTAAATTTATCGAAGAGTACATTTTTTTGCATAATTTAAAACGAATGTCACAAAACTTGTTTTACATCAATAATAGTGTTAATTTGGTTCACAAAAATATTACGACTCTTGTTTTAAAAGATACAGAAAATATTTTACCTATATTTTTAACGGACACTGTTTTCTATTCGATATGGTTTAATGTAGAACGATTTAATTCTATCGATAAATAAGCGCGCTCGAATGTGATGTATTCACATGATACTAATAAAAATTTTTACAGACATTTGGAAAACTGTTTTATATAATCATAACAAGATAATATTTACTCTCGATACAGGATACATTAAATGAAGTATTATAAGCTGATTTTTCTAAAACCACAAAAATATTGATTTTACTTTTTTAAATTAAAAAGAATAGGAAATTCATCATTTCGTGTGTAATCCAACATTTTACGGAAATAAAAAGAGTTCTCCTATTACTTTTTTATAAACAGTTATTGAAGTGTTAAAAAAATTTATAATATTTGACTTTATACATACTCCATACTGAAATACATATGTGTAGAAGGATTTAAATTGCAAACATGATAAGTACTGGTAAACATTTCATACTACAAAATAAAAGCTGTTTATAATAGCCAAATTACTAGACAGATTAATAGTTGAAGTACGATTAAAGAGTTTTGTTGTAATGCGTTGACGTTACCGCCAATAAAAGAAAAACAGCATTCTATATGTACAATAATTTTGCAAACTCGACACAGCTAACAAAGTATATTTTTACTCACCTTAATTAGTGTGGCAAAGGTAGAACTTTATAAAAATAAAAATAATTACGTTACTACGAGAAAATGTAGACCGTACTGTATTTACAATCGATACGAGTCAGCCATTACGTTTGTCGTGTCGTATCTCGAATCTCGAATGCGTGGTGTCGCGATCGAATGCTTAAATAGAGTTGCTACTATCGATTATCGATACACTATCGATATCGTATTGATATTTAAAAAGTATAGCGCTAATATCATAAATGCTAATGAAGGTGACGGAAACGTGTAAAATATAGTGTGTAATTATATTATTCAAATTTATTTATTTTTTTTAATCTTCAAACAACCTTATCTTACATTCATCTTACATATAGAAATTACAAATATTACATAATATGTGTATCTATAATTTAAGTCTATTATAATAAAAAAAAATAATTACAATATTTAATAGTGTAATACAGAAATTATCCCAGTTCTAGATCTTGAATCTGAAATACAATAATTATATTAAAGAAAAAAATATATGGTAATATAATTACTTATTTGATGTTATAAATAACTAAAACATATACCTCTTGAACTTTCTGCATTTCTTGCGTTAATAGATTGTCTAATATTTCTTGAAATCTTTGTCGTAATTTAACGTTTTCAATATTAGCAATTTCAATTTCTTGTTGTTGTCTTCTTTGACGTAATTCAGTTAATTCAGTATGTAAAGTCGCAAGACGCGTTTGTAACGAATCTGCAATGTTAAAAGAAAAGCGTTTTATTTAATTGCACAAGAAATGTGCATTAAGATGCGAGACAATATGTTCATTTATTATACCTTTTGATGTAGTGGCAGGGGGGAATTCTGGGAAGGGATGCGAGACAATATGTTCATTTATTATACCTTTTGATGTAGTGGCAGGAGGTAATTCTGGGAAGGTTACTGAAATACATATGTGTAGAAGGATTTAAATTGCAAACATGATAAGTACTGGTAAACATTTCATACTACAAAATAAAAGCTGTTTATAATAGCCAAATTACTAGACAGATTAATAGTTGAAGTACGATTAAAGAGTTTTGTTGTAATGCGTTGACGTTACCGCCAATAAAAGAAAAACAGCATTCTATATGTACAATAATTTTGCAAACTCGACACAGCTAACAAAGTATATTTTTACTCACCTTAATTAGTGTGGCAAAGGTAGAACTTTATAAAAATAAAAATAATTACGTTACTACGAGAAAATGTAGACCGTACTGTATTTACAATCGATACGAGTCAGCCATTACGTTTGTCGTGTCGTATCTCGAATCTCGAATGCGTGGTGTCGCGATCGAATGCTTAAATAGAGTTGCTACTATCGATTATCGATACACTATCGATATCGTATTGATATTTAAAAAGTATAGCGCTAATATCATAAATGCTAATGAAGGTGACGGAAACGTGTAAAATATAGTGTGTAATTATATTATTCAAATTTATTTATTTTTTTTAATCTTCAAACAACCTTATCTTACATTCATCTTACATATAGAAATTACAAATATTACATAATATGTGTATCTATAATTTAAGTCTATTATAATAAAAAAAAATAATTACAATATTTAATAGTGTAATACAGAAATTATCCCAGTTCTAGATCTTGAATCTGAAATACAATAATTATATTAAAGAAAAAAATATATGGTAATATAATTACTTATTTGATGTTATAAATAACTAAAACATATACCTCTTGAACTTTCTGCATTTCTTGCGTTAATAGATTGTCTAATATTTCTTGAAATCTTTGTCGTAATTTAACGTTTTCAATATTAGCAATTTCAATTTCTTGTTGTTGTCTTCTTTGACGTAATTCAGTTAATTCAGTATGTAAAGTCGCAAGACGCGTTTGTAACGAATCTGCAATGTTAAAAGAAAAGCGTTTTATTTAATTGCACAAGAAATGTGCATTAAGATGCGAGACAATATGTTCATTTATTATACCTTTTGATGTAGTGGCAGGAGGTAATTCTGGGAAGGTTTCTGGAATAATATATTCTGAATGAAATTGTTCAATTTTAGGCACTTTTGATTGTGGTACATCTTCCGGTTTTTCTCCTTCTGTTTCTATATTGTTATCATTTTGGAACATTTCTTTACTAAATTCCGTAACAAGATTGCTATTTGTTGCTGTATTATTAGCAGATCTTTCTGAATATGCAGCTTGCATGGAATTAGAATCTGATACCCTACTATCTGCTGAAAGCCTGCTATTATCATCCAATTCCATCACATTTATATTTGCTTCCTCGTCATCTTCTTCGCTATCGCTTACCGGCTCACCAAATATATCGTGTTCAGCTACATGAGTTAAATAGTATTCATGAATTACTTGCTTTAACATAATCATATTGATTTATAATACTTACCAACATCAAGGCTCTGGGAAGTATTACCATTAATACTTTCTCGTTTAGTTTTCACTGTACCAGATGATGATACTTTACTTGGCTTAGATTGATCTTCATCTTCACAAATTACTTCCCACTTAACATTAACAGCCTCATTGTCTACCCTCAATAGACGTTTGACTTCCTTTTCAATTTCTGGAGCTTCTACATATTTCTTTTTCAAAGTCTTTCTAAATCTTCTACGTCTGACATTTTTTGTAGGAGGTGTTAAACCATGTGGCCATAAAAACTTCTTGTCTACTTTATTTGGATCTTTCTTTTTTTGTCGTACTGGGGACTCTTCATCTGTTGTAGTATGATCATCTTCTTCCTTACAAATCAACAACTGTAAACAATACAGTAAAATTATAATGAAATATATTGTATACATAAACATTTTATTTTTAGTTTACTGAATCATTCACTGTTGTACCTGACAGACATCAGCTGTTTTATAAAAACTCTTATTGTCAATAGTTTTTAAAGATTCCACAATTGTTGGTAGGTCCACAACCTAAATTTATAATATCCTTGTGATTATGTTATTGCATTAAAATCTTTCATACGCATAAAAAAGATATGCTACAAATTCTACCTTAGCATGAAGCAACCAATGGTCAAATCTAACCTCTCCATAACGCATATCATTTTCCAACTTAATACTTAATCTGTCCTTCAAAGGCAACCCAGAACGTAAAATATCTCTTAAAACTCGTGCTGGTTCCTACAAAATATTGGACAATTTTTATATATGCAATTAACCTTCATAATTTTCATAATCATTTAGGTTAAGAAAAATGATTGCACATTAAATTGTACATACCGGTGGTAAACGTAAAATAAATTGACTTTCTAATTCAACTTGCGGCTCACTTCGATTCTTATAATCCACATTTGGATGACGATTCATGTTTTTACATACAAAACTTTGTGTTCTGAATTAAAAGTTAAATAATACAATGTAATCAAACAACGAGTTATCATTCATTTTGTCATTCACTGTACTAGAGTAAAGCGCATGCTTGTTTACGTCTTTTGTAATGCCAAATGTATATACCCAGTGACTTTTTATTTTGTACAACCTTATATCTGGCGTGGTCACCAAGATGTGAGAAATTGGAAGGATGAAACTTTAGAAATTTAAAAATTTGCATATTTAAACGTGTTCCGTTTCACGTCTAAATTTAAATTCTTAAGATTTAGACATCATTATCTCTTCTGATTATTCGCATATTTTATCTTTACCGTGTATATAACCGATCAAATGAAAGATGTATAATAGGGGGGGTGATTCCGACACAAGGGTGGGGAATCTATTGAAGTTATCCGCGTTGCGCGAATTGGGTATGATCTCTTCCATACAACTAAGTATACATTGAAGTCAAAATACTTCATTGCAGATAACGAATGTGATATCAAATAAGCAAATCATCGAAAAATGCGTACATTACTTTGACAAATTTTATCAAACTATTACATAATTATTAGCTTATCTTCATTGAAAATATTCATTTATAGTGACGTTACGTACTTATGACGTAATAATTAACCATTTCAGTCTAGTCAATGTAAAAGAATATAGATAGCGTTTCTTTTAGATTTTGCTTAGTGCCACTTTGAACATCGCCTTTGAATATATCGTTTGGATATTTGATTTACAGATTTTATATATCATAATTGTATAATATCTTATACAAAATCTATTTTTTCATTGTTTACTAGTGAGACGTAACATGTGAAGATACACATGGGCATCAGAAAGTTCCGGTAAATAAGTTCGCAATCTTGATTTTTGACTTAATAATTAATACAAATAAATTGTTTGTTCAATTCGTGAATCCATATTGTTACATAAACAATAATATTTATTCATTTTTGTTTTCATTTTTATCAACATCTGCAATGTGTGTACGTTGCGTATTTACATCGGTAATTCTGTTCTATTGAAACATTATTTACGCGCAAATTTTTAAAATCGATTTTAACAAAATATTTTGCACTTACATATACGAAATATACACGTTAAATTTGTATATAAAATTTAATGATTTTATTTTTATCAATTGAACAATGGGTTTGATCGAATCACATTAATATATAGAATATTACTTTGTTACTGCAATAGAAAGGTCACACTATATAAAAAATTACATTTCTATCGTTGCGAGTTATCATTTCTCCTTCAATAAGAAAAAGTATAAGTGAAAAGTCTTGTGCATCGTACATTTTCCTTGTGAATTATTTAGCAAATCCATATGTTTATAATTAAGCTATACCAGTAAGTGATCAATGGAACATCGGACTTCGCGCTCGCGCTGTCGCACTTCTGACGTCCATCCATAATCGCCTTTTTGCTTCGAATGTTTGTAATTACATCAGTAAAAAATAGCCTAATTCACGAAGTACATCAATTTCGGAAGTTTTTATAATGAATTTATTGTCCGCTTGCTCATTCATTATGTTTTCTAATATCTTTCTCTTAGTGTGACTAATCTTCGTAATACACAAGTATTGACTGGGTATACTGTTGTGTCGATACCAGGTAAGTTATAAATGTTTTATATAATATTTTTTGCATGGCTTGCTAATAATTTACTAACATGACAAAACTGTTTTTGTACTTTAGATAGCATGTCTGCAGAGACAAATTATAGGCTTGGTTTGCAGATCCAACATTTGTCTGTTTTTGTTTCAACTTAATCAGTTTTTCCCATTGTATTACTTGTTTTCTAAATGCATGGCATTAATATTTATTACCTAGCACTTTTTGATTATGTTTGTTGTATTCTATAATCAATGTTCTTATAATTTATATCATTTTGTATCTTAATTATGAGTAATTTGCACATTTATTTCTATTTTTTCATTTAGAAGTATATAGATCTATTATTTATTACACTTATTGTAATTAAAAGTTACACATTTTTAATATAATAGATCCATAATGAGCTCTCAACCGATTGTGGTGCCTGGTGGTGAACATCGATCTCAATCAGAAACATATTCTGTGTCTGTTGGAAGTACTTCTGATTCTTTCAAAACTATGACACCGCCAAATGTTAGCAGATCACTTAGCAATCGTAAGTATGATTGGAGTTATTGAAGTTTAAATTGTTATATGTTGTTGAAGATAAATATTTTATGAAGGAGAAGCTATTGGTAAATGGCAGAAACAGTTGTATTAAAGTATTAATAAATTTTTGTTTTAGTACATCTATTTTTATGTAATATGTTAATTATATAATAGAATGAGAATTTTTCTGTATTATAATTTTATGAGAATGTATTTACTTGTTATTCGTGAAATTTTATTTCTGTTTTAATATTGTAAATTAAATAGTTTAAAGTTTTGTTTAGTTATGTTGTTTTAAATTAAAAAGGTTTATTTAAGAATAATATTAAAACATATGTATATGTCTGTGAAATGTGATTGATTGAAAGTATTATTTTAATAACTTGTTGATTGTTGATTAAAGTAATTATACTGCAAATAATTGCCATTTAAAGGTATTAGTGACAGTGGATGTGATACATTGCCACGCAAGCTAGGTAGGCTTATAAACATGGATTGTGTGTATACAGTAGTAAGCATCAGTATTAGAATTACAGAAATCAATAAGTAGATATGAGTATATACATATGTATAACATTCTATCTTCATATTACACATATTATTAGCATTTCCTAGTTTCAAATTATTTACCGTGTCATCATTCAACATTATTAAGTAATTTATAAATACATTTATCAGTTTCAACCGTTATCATTTGTTTCGATATAATCTCCATTAATATTACTGAATTAAGAAAAAAAATTCTTCATACTATTAGATATATTAAAATGCCATTTTATTGTATGTATTAGATTAACATAATGCATTCATGCTGTTAGCATATTATTCACTGTTAATTATATTATACCGTACAACATTTACATCTGTGCATAAATTTGTTTGAAGAAAAGTATGTGTAAATTAGAGAAGGCTGTTTCTTAAAAGCATGAGTATTTTCAATGCATGAAATACCTTATAGCTTGTAGTTATTGTATTGTAGAATATTTGGAGCATGTATTAGTATTTATAAATAAGTTTAGTATTATAGCTACTTTTTTAATGTCATTCATGGCAAATTTTTAGTTTAGAAATATTTGTATTGCAAATATGTATGCATTTTTATAATATATTTTGTCCAATATCTTTAAATTACATGTTTTCCTGTATGTAGTATGTATTCATGTTTGTTTATTGCTTTTTAAGATTCCTTTGCTTCTACAATTAAATGAATTCAATTAAAATTTGAAGCTATGTTGTATACTATTATATGTTATATAATGGTTATTAAGAACTATTATTATTGATAGTACTTTGTTAATGTTGTAAACACAGATTTATAATTTAGGACACAATATAGCATAATTTACTTGTAGCATATTTATTGTTACATAGTGTTAGTTAAAAAATTTGAAATTTGTAATTTTAAAAAATAGATGTATTTGAAAAATATAATTTTTTGACTTATTGTAAATATATCAATAAATAAATAATAATTATGATTGAAAAGAAACTAAATATATAGAACCAGTGGATCAACAACTTCGAAGAAGCAGTGCTCAAGTTCAATCTCCAACATTACCTAATCTTCCATCAACAGAGTCCATAGCAACATGTGTAAATTTAACAACTGCTGCACCTCCACTATCACCAGGTATAAATATAATTACATTAGTTCATAATGAGAAATAATCCCAATTTTGTCAGGTGCTTTTTAACTTTTACATGAATCAATACTAATCCTTACTTGTGAAAGTAGTTGATTAGTTATGAAGAACTGCATTTTTTGATTCTTGTTTGGCTTACAACATTTATCTTATATTATGCATATATATTAGAATCTGTAACTTTTGTAATGTAATTTTTGTACATTGTATAATTTTTTGTGGCTGACAAACCATCAAATATATGTATTAAGTAGATTATTACGAACATAAGTCATGAGTGAACAATACTTTTGTATCATAATTATATATAGAAGTTTATGAGCATTACATTGAAATAATAATTTTTGTCTATTAATTTCTATCCATTTATGATTAAGATAAATAGGAATGATAATGTTGCACTAAAAACAGCTTTTTAATGTAATTATAAAAAAGAATTAATAATTATTATAATATAAAAAATTGCTAACTGCATAATGGATTATGTTAATACTATTTATATAAACTTTTCATTTTACCTTGTAACAAGTTAGGTACATCTCATTTAATGATAGTTTTTTCTTATAACATTAATTTTGTTAAGTTTATTATACATATTTTAATTTATTAAGCTTGATTATTTTTAAGGCCTGTAATTTTAATTAATTTTAAATAACAACTTAAATTTTGTTAAATGTTTATTATTAAGGCAGAAAAAGTTGTCAGTTCTTTACATAATAATTCATAATATCATTTCTCAGTAACTACTGTCATCTACATATTTTAATCATCTTACAAGATATCTTAATAAAAATAGTGAGAATAAATTTCTCATTAAAATTATTACACTATTAATTTCACTTAAGTGTAATGTTTTAAACAGTCTACTGTGTTAATATAATTATAATAAAAAATACAATTACTCAGTTAATTTTTAATTAATTGTGTTTTTGTACATTGAAAATATTAAAATTTAATCACCTTGTTATCTAATCACATTGCTTGAATAATTTATGTTATAGGACTATCTGCAATGGGTGAAAGTAATCAAAAAACAGATAATACATCTGATAAGGTACATAATTATTGACTTTGAATTAATTAGTTTGATATTTTAAATTGTTGATTACAATATTTTTTTATTGTCTTTTTTAGTCTTTAGATTCCTGCAAATTAACAAGAAAAGAATCATACAAGGCTCAGAGAAAGAATTATCGAATGGAAAAGAAAAGAGTTGCAGATGAACTTTTAAGTTCATTTAAGGATCCAACTGTCATTGTAATGAGCGACTGGCTTAAAGTCCGTGGAACATTAAAAAGTTGGACAAAACTATGGTGTATTTTAAAACCTGGTTTGCTACTGCTATACAAAAGTCCAAAAACAAAAGTGCTGATCTATATTATTACTAATTTAATAATTCTCTCTTTCATGCAAAGTTATGTCAACATAATTATTGCAGAGTAATCATTGGGTGGGAACAGTTTTACTTAATACATGTCAAGTGATAGAGCGACCAAGTAAAAAGGATGGGTTTTGTTTTAAACTATTTCATCCTTTAGAGCAATCAATATGGGCTCCAAGAGGTCCAGAAAAGGAATCCATTGGTAACTAACAAACTTTTTTTAGAAATAACTATGCAATATATCTTCATACAACCTTACTTTTAGGAGCTGTTGTACAACCTTTGCCAACTTCTTACTTGATCTTTAGAGCCCCTTCACAGGCAGCTGGTAAATGTTGGTTGGATGCACTTGAATTATCTTTGCGTTGTTCCTCGTTAATAGTGCGTTCAACAAGTGCATTGCCACGCACTTTACCACATGATACTACAACAACTCATGAAACTCAGTGGAGTGAAGCAGATTACGAAAAACATTTTGATGAGCATGGTGAGTTATATAAAATAACAGTTCATGTGACAAATGAAATGAATGTTACATCGAATAAAGCTACGACGTTTCTTTTCATAATACTCATTGCTATTATTACCTCTAGTAGATTTGCGAAAATATTTAGCTAAGGAATGCTCTGATATGTTATCGATATTAATTACACCATTATTATTGTCCTTTTCCTGACATTTGTCACCTTAAATTCTTGCTTTTGATATCCACAGTATGTTTATCTAATTATGCACCTCAATCACCTACAGTACATCAAAGACGTTTATTATCTTGTCCCCAACCACTTACTCCTTGTACAACAAATCATCCTAAAAGTGTTTGTCCTTCTCCAACTCCAATGTTTCAACAATTATACCATGCAATTGCATACTGGGATAAACAATTTCGTGATAGATCTCCAACACCTACTACAGATACAGAAATAGTAATGTCTTCAACTTCTGTTGATGCATTAGGTGATGGAGAAATTTACTCTAATATGTCTCACTTTGAATCTACTTCCAAACCTATTCCATCTTCTACTCGGCGTATGACTGTTCCTTCTATACATGTCCTTGAATATGACACCCCACATGTAGTAACGCTAGATCCTATGCACTCCTCACATACAGACCTGGACGATATTAGCCAACCCGAAAATGGAGTAGCAGCTGATGCAGAAATTAGTGCTTCGGACAGTGAATCAGAAGGATCAGCTAAGGAAGATCAACCAGAAACCATCAATGAAACACCATATGTTGCAAATGAACAAGAAGTTCTTGGAATGGTAAAATAACTTGCTATACCCATATGATCGAAATCAATTTTCCTTTATTACATTTCTATTCATATAATTTTAATCTGAATGTGGAAAACAGGCTGGAGAAGTCGTCACAGAATTGCAAGAAGAACAAAAGTCTCTAATATGGTTCTTAGTAAAACAAGTTCGACCAGGGATGGATCTATCAAAGGTGGTCTTACCGACCTTTATTCTAGAGCCTCGTTCATTTTTAGAAAAATTGGCTGATTCTTATTATCATGCAGACTTATTGTCTCAGTGAGTAAAAGGTGTATAAATTTTGAATCTTATTCATGTATAATTTAAAGTACATACAACTTGTTCTTTGCATTTACAGAGCAGTGGTGGAAGATGATGCTTTTACACGAATGAAGGGAGTAGTTAAATGGTATTTATCTGGATTTTATAAAAAACCACAGGGTCTAAAAAAACCATATAATCCCCTTTTGGGTGAAACATTCCGTTGCTACTGGCAACATCCTAATGGTTCAAGAACGTTCTATATAGCTGAACAAGTAAGATTTCTTATTTTTAGAGTGCAACACTGATATAATCATTTATTACTTCGGTAATTTATTTTCTCAGTTATCTCACCATCCGCCTATATCAGGCTTCTACGTTACAAATCGTCAAGATGGATTTACTATTAGTGCTACAATCATTGCTAAATCTAAATTTTATGGTAAATACATGCAATGTAAAATACATTAGGTTTCCTTTTGTATAAATTTATGAATTAACAATGTATTAATATTTTTCCTTAGGAAATTCAACATCAGCAGTTTTAGATGGTGTTGCAATATTAACAATGTTACCTAGAGGAGAAGATTATACAATGACTATACCATATGCTCATTGTAAAGGTATTCTTATGGGAACATTATCTATGGAATTGGGTGGAAAAATTCACATAAAATGCGAGAAAACGGGTTACCATACTGAATTAGAATTTAAGCTTAAGGTACCATTTATTAATATATTTATAATTATTTTAAATTTCTAAATCCCTAGATTTCTAGATCCCTGTATTCCTAAAAGATAAAAGTATGATTATAAAAATAATTCGATACTTACTCGCTAGCCATTCCTCGGTGGTGCAGAGCAAATGAATCAAGTTGCCGGTGCAATACGTCTTGGAAAAGAAACTCTTGCTACTATATCAGGATATTGGGATGGTCAGATAATAATTACTGACAAACGAACAGGAGTACGTTAACCATAATTATTTCTAGTTTCATATGTAATAAATAAAGTCGGTACTGTATCGGTTGATCTTACAGCAAGAAAGTGTATTCTTTAATCCAACTCCGGAAGTGCGCAAGAAGAGGTTGAAAAAATATACTGTGCCGTTGGAAAATCAAGGTCCATGGGAAAGTGAAAAATTATGGTATGATGTCACACAAGCTATTAACAAAGATGATCAAATAGCTGCTACCGAAGCAAAAACTCAATTAGAGGAAGCTCAAAGAGAGCGTGCTAAAGAACGAAAAATCAAAGGACAAGAATGGGTTCCTAAATATTTCGTTCAGGTATTGTGTAATAAATACTTTTTGTGAGGATTTATTTCTTGCACTGTTTAAAATATTATTCTTTTATGTCAATAGGATATTATAACGGGTAATTGGGTGTATCGACACGCAGATGTTCGACCATGGGATCCCAGGAATGATGTTGTTCAGTATGAACAAGATTATATAGTTCGTACAAAAACTAGACATAAAACGCCAATTATGCGTACTGGTAGTATTGTTTCTGCTGAACCCCAAACACAGGTACAGAAATAAAAATGTATAATTAATTAAGTGATTAATAATTAACATATATATTGGTTATACATTTAAATTATTTAATCTTGTTTTTAATATCTATAGTATCATTTGTATTTCAGGTTCCGCTTCTACAAGCCGAATCCCGTTCATCACTATCTGTATTGAAATCTTCCAAAAGACAATTGTCCAGTAATTTACCATTGACAGAAACAGCGCACGATTCAGGCAGTTCATCTGCTGAAGCACACTCAGATTCTAGTCAATCAGTAGGCAAAAGAAAACGTTCTACTGCAAGGTAAAATTTATTGCATTATACAACAACATGGTAATAATAGCCCATATTTTTATAATATTTTTGTAAATAACTTTCTGTTCAGGATAATGGATGTTATTAAAGAAGTAGAAAGACAAATGATGGAATACGGGGATAAACTGAATCGCATACAACATATACTAGAGCAGCTTGCTATAAGACAAAGAGAACAAGCTGATCAACATCATAGTATAAGTATGTTGAAAAGTTTCATAGACACGATTCTTGTTATCGTGATAGTTTTTTCTGTTCAATATTTTGTAAAAATATGGAACGAAGAACCTAACGGAGGTTGAAGAATGCTATAACGAGGTAGTAGTATAAATTGTACATGTTATTTATCTCATCTCAATTTAAATTATCAGCTTTTATGTAAAAAAGCTTTGAAAGAGCAAATCCTAAAATTTGAAGTACCTAATTTAAACGCGCCTTCGGCGGATGCAATAAGGTATCTTGTTTTAGTAGAACACCGCTGAATAATAGTATAGGAAAGAAAGATTTAGGGGTTCTAAGAAACATCCTAAATCACAGTGCAATTTTGTTTCGTTTATAGTTTAAAAAAATTCAGTTGATGCTTTGTAAAATAATATGTTCCTTGAATGAATGTGTACGTTTAAAGATTCGTTTTTTAGCAATTTGTGTAAAATTTATAATCCATGTTAAACGGTCCTCGCAGCAGCAATGAACTATACAAAGTAAAGGAATTGTATTTACAATTTCTTTGAGCTTATGATGTATATACTTTACATGCTAATGCACGAAAAATAATTACATATTTATTCAAAGATTCTAACAATGTTGTAGTCCTTACTGCAGGCGCTCAATAGTTAAGTGTAATTATAACAATAAGGCTACTCTAAAGATATAACATTTATTGTTATAAAAGTAACTATATTTCTTGGATTATGGCAAACATAGAAAAAGCTAATTGCAGTTCCCATTTTCAGAATCACTTGTACAGCGGTTACAAAGAAATAGATCATAACTTAGATCTAATATTAACCACTTATAAGTGAAAAGAATTCCTAATAAGTATCAGATATTAAGATTATTTAATACTAAACAAAAAAAAATTATCAAAAATTTTAGCAGATCAATCTATCAGCTTATTTTGTATCATTTATATCTTTATATTGATTGCTATATGTAACAGTAATTTTATCATTACTTATTTATATTTAAAAATATCTGTATTAATAATGTTCTCTATTTTACTAGTTTAAAGCAGATATTTAAATTATTTGTTTATGACTTACTGTAAATATAAAATTTGTTATACATTTAATATCGTATGACTTTTAAAACTTATACGCTATTTCGTATAAATCTTTCTTATAATAAAAGTATATCGGATTATAATAATTAAGATAAGTATTTTAGAAAAAGAAATTTTATTGTCAAATTTTATGATATATCGTGTCAAATTAATATTTATCTGTATTAACAATAGTATACCAATTCAAATATTTTATTTGGATTTTTATGTTTATATGTTAAAATTTTAACATTTTAATAGTAAGCAATATTTGCTTTTAATAAAAGAGTTATATTTCGATAATATTTTAATGACTATAAAGGTGTTATACTTTAATAATTTTGTTATAAAAAATTTTGTCAAAGTGAATTTGTTATTAATATAGATATATGTTTTTATAATTCAAAGTACTAATCACTATTTGCAATAATATAAAAGCTAAAAGGTTTCTTCACACAATCATTTTTTAAATGAAAGTTGGTTTTTATTTGTACAAAATCTGTATACTACATTTCCTTTTTTCTAAAGTACTGCAATTAGCTATAAATCTAATAAATTTGTTCAAATAGTTTAAATGGTTGTTAATATAAAAATATGTTTTTTAATGCCATCGTTTAACGTATAGTTTATTAAATTTTATTGTATCATTTTTTATCCAAATTCATTGAGCTAAATTTAAATTCGTTAATTCCTTAGATATATTTTTACCTAAACTATAATATATTTTGCACAAAAATTTACAATGATTCTTTATTCAGATTTTTCTTATTACTTAGTTTTGAATATGTAAAATTATTCTTGGTAATAAGTAGGTGTAATTTGTTCTTAGATTAAATTTCAAATAATTTTAAAAAGTACAAGCGCATTGTTAACTGTTGGAAATAAATTGTTTCTTGTGATGTTGAATGCGTTTTAAAATATTTTTCGTAGAGTACCTGATATTTTTATACTGTAATTTATTTAACTTCATACTTTCTTTTGTATGTAATAACTATCTGAAATATTTCATGATTTAAATATTGTAATACCAAATTATTCAAGTTAGAAATAAGATATGTATTGAAAAATGGTTACAGAAATTGTTATATTATAAATTCGAAATGTTAAATGTTATATGCTGAATGTTATTTTATACATTTAAAAAGATTGTATAAATGACCTTTAAAAATATATTTCATTGTAGACTTTTAATACATATTTTTGAACGTTTGCATTATTTTGGTTCATTATTTATATTAAAAATAAACCAATATTGTAATATGTAATACTGTGACAAATAAATAGCATATTTAAAAATAATCAAAAAGAGCTTTTTGCAAATTAGGTAATACATTTTATTGAGCGAGCGAGCCGAAGGCGAGCGAAGCTCTTATACTTGACTTTGCAACTTCTTTGTCCGCGTTTTTCTTTTGTGCCACTCAACCAATTCTCATCAAATTTTGCACGCACATGTGTATGTGCGTTAAGGGGTTAACGCAGTTAACAGTATTCATTTTTTTTTGTTAAATTTTATTTTAAAAAGAAGGGAACAAATTATAGTGTTTAATTCAAATCATAGTTTTGTACAAAATAATGTACTCAGATTCAAAATGCTTTAAAAAAAGGAATTTTAATTCTTCCAAGAAAGGCACTAATAATGATGCTTCTAATGAATCATGTAGGAATATTTATAAATTTACATGGTTATATGTTCTTATTTAAAACTTATTTTGTAATTGGTAGAAATAATATCTACTAAAGGACAAGTTAAATAAACTATAATAATATTTGAAAATATATCAGGTGGCTGCATACCAGTAACACCACAAATGATTCGTGCAGCTGTAAAAAGATTACACCTACGCAGAGCTTTTGTTAATACAAATCTCATCAGCCAATATCTACGTCGCAGTTATCCAGTTGAAAATGATTTAAGATTGTTTTCTGAAGAATTGAAAAAAAAATTGGATTGTGCCGTACGTGTTGGATTAATAGTAAAACATGGAGAAGATGCATATTGTTTGCCTACTCTAAGAGAAGAAGCAAATATATTTGACACATTGTGCACTACATTTTGGGAAATATATAGAAATGTAATTAAAAGTTGAATCACATATTAGCTGCAGTATTATAATTAGTTATATATATTTTTTCAGTATCCAGGTACTGCACAAACTAGGTATCAAAATAGAAAACGTTCTACCACAAAGAAAAAGAAACGATTAGAAGGTATAATTAAAAAGTAATAAACGAAATATAATTTAAAAATTTGTATATTGACATATACTTAATTTACATTTATTTTGTACTTGAATTTTATTACAACAGGTCTGTACATATGTATATTTAAACAAGATATTTGTGCATATAAAATATAAAATCTATATAAATGTTATGTTAAATTAAGTGCAGAAAATGGATTATTTGGATCAATAAAATTTGGTTCATCCAAATTCTCTTCAGCACTAAAATATTCTAAGTCATCATTATCTGTGGTTTTAGGTTTGGAACATTTACGCTTTTTGTGCTTTTTACGAAACTTAATTCCTTCTTGAACTATTGAAAACAAGAGTTTTATTTTCAACAAAAATACATTAAGAAATCTTAACACACTTGAGGATTTTTCAAGTACAGTATTTATATATCTTTCCACGTCATCGCGTGTTTGAAAATTGTTACATAAATTGTATAATAATGTACCATTATAGAAATTAGCAATTTCAATATGTGAGTAGGGCCTGCCTAGAAGTGCATTCAATTCTATACCATGTTTCAAACAATTTTGAAATTCCGCGAACGCATGAACTATAAGTTTATTAAACTTTTTTGGGTTTGCATACAATTTTTGATCCATTTCAAAATGAGAAGTAAAGAATTGTGCTGCCAATATACAATCTTCAGTATCAATTTCATTAAAAGCTTCATCAATTGTAACATCCATTGAATAATTTGGTTTATAATCATCTGCTTTTCTTTTCTCTTGTATCTCCTTCAGTTTTTGACCACACTTATGTTGAAAATTATACAAACTTCTATATCTCCCAATTTTAGAATCTATTATATGAAATAACATAGAGACAATTATAGAGTATATACAACTATTAATTAGCCTAGATGGTTCTTGTTGTTTTACCCAATATTTAATACAAATTATATATAATTTCCATTTCAATGGAAAATTATTTATAGGGTCCATGTTTGAAACCTCTAATGTATGATTAAAAATCTCTCTTCTTATACCTAATGGAACTTTTCTGAGATCAAACAATGATGGAATTTTACAATTAAATATAGTGTCTGTACATTGTAATTCATAACGTTCAATTCTTCCTTTTGAATTTCTGGTTATATAGGTCATATACTGTGTTTTCTTCTTTACTGCTGATTTGAGAAGTCCAAATATTACACCAAGAATTTTTAAACTTACTGTAATGCTTGGAGGATAATTATAATCCTCTAATTGTACAGCACAAATATATAAACGTTGATTTATCAAGTCCAAAAAATATGGTGGCTGTTTAGCCATAAGATATTCACTTACAAACCATGTAGGTAAATTACTAATAAGTGCATTAGTAGGCGTTGGTTCAGATTCATTAACAACATTCATTATTTTACTTTCTTCTTCTTCTTCTTCTTCTTCTTCACTTATGTAAATTTCATTTGTATCAAAAGTATCTTCTATAAATGTTAAGTTGTTGATATCTCCATTAAATTTATAAATTTTATTTACATTACGCATATTTATTTGAGTAACATAGTCTTTTGAAAAACCTAATGGAAGAAGCATTTCAGCAGATCCATTGGTGTATGTATTTATATTGGTCTCTATTATATTCAATATATGTTGTCGTATAGATTTAGCCAGTTTGCTTAAAATTCCAGCAATAGCATTATCCAATGTATATCTACTCAACCAAATAAAGGTTTCTTCTATACGACGTTGTTGGAGATTTTGTTTATTCTTTGATGTACCTCGCACTTTTATGTGGCAGAAAAAATTTTTAAATGTACCAAATTTTACATAATCATTACCTAATAGTATTGCTGCCAATGGTAACACAGGTTCTGTTAAACCTTTAAAACATTTTAATAAATATTCGGTTTTATAAATTTTACAGCATTTCACATATCCTTTCCCATTTGTGTTTTTGGTCACATAACTATCTAATGTATTAAATGGTATATATAATGTTCCATATATATAAAAGTCTGAATCATAACTAAGTACAGGGCAATTCAAAATTCTTGCTATAGATGCTATAGTACTATCAGCTTCAAATAAACATTGTATATGACGTATATTCTTCTGTTTTAAAACACTTATAAAAACTTCTGTCAAAAATAAAGGGAAAAATGTCATGCTCTGTTGACTTTGAGGGCAGAAAGTTGCTGCTGCATTGATCCTTTCTTGTACTCTTCTTATTTTAGTGTTCATTTTCTTACTTTCATAGGCTCCATCGAGAATGACTAATGGTGTTACATTACATTTTAATAAGTCATCAAAAAAGTCTGATACAGATTGATAGTATTTATCATAATCACCACCAAAGGCACAATTACACTTTGCATATAATTTATATATTTGACAACAAATACTGTAACCATCAATTATTAAATATGTGTCATGTAACTCATAGTACTGTAGTAAACGACATGAACGATTGTTTATAAACTTAGTTAACCCTGAAACACCCATTTTAAATCACTTGAATACAAACTAAAACAAATGACAACATTCAGCACTAGATCATATTTCTATTAAAAAAATAGACCACTTTCGTTGTACTATATTGCCATATGCAAATGAAGTATTATCATCATAAAGAAGTATTAAAAGCGTTTCAATGATGTATTTAGGTTTCTTAAATATGAGGTTATCATTAGTTCCTGAGTCAATAAGATATGTAGTGGGAGTTCTAGAAAGAGAAGAAAACTTCAATGAATGAAATAAAATGTTACAAAAATAATATGTGTTAATCAAATTTATTTGTTACTTTTTTGTGTCTGCAGTTATTTCATATATACATACAAATATTTGTTGCAAAATATCTTACCAGTATCAGAGAGTAGATATAATTCTATTCCAGTATTCCAAAACATTGTATGTACACAAATAAAAACATATGAACATATTTTGTGTTTTTACACATTTAAAATACTAAATCATGATTGCATTTCGGAAACATGTATACCTCTTGCACACATCTAATATTGCACTGTATCGGTCATAACAGCACGTGTTTTTCTACCTGTGCATCGCTTATATATGCGCACATAAACTCTTACTGATAAAAAAATCTCACAACAGCGCATCAGTATGACGAAGTGTTGGGCAGTCGTGAGATTTTATCTCACGCAAGAGCTTTATGCGCATGCGTCAGCTGACGTCACAGCGTGCTGCCAATGCCGTACATAGCCGGTACACGCAATGGTGACTGAAGAAGGCACCTTATTGATCCTACAGAATTTTTCAAAAATTCTTATAATTGCACTGTAAACTATGAATGAATAGGTTGAGTTAAATTACATTAGGCTGGGTTAGGTTAGTTACATATATGACTGTATAAAA